TAAAGGTGATGCTACATTACCTCCCACCGACCGCTGCGCCTCGATCTTGACTAAAGAGAAATCAACCTCAACTTGTCACTCCCAAAAACCCTCGCTGGCTCGAAACCATCAAACTGGCTGGGCTGCCTATGGACGACTTCGCACAACCTACCACCCCGCACACAACAACACTTCAACGATCAATGCACACCTACCTCAAACTGGCCGAACCACTAAAATGAGTAACATGCTTTCAATCCTGGGTATTGCCTGCGCTCCAGGTGCGCCCTTGCCAGCTTCTCTGCACTCTCGTGCAGCATTGTCCACTAATGGGGGGCCCATCCGGGCCCCTTGAGAATGACCTGACATTGCGCAGAATTTATGTGGATGACGACTCAGCTAGGTGGGGGCTTCCCCACCAATTGCCCGCGTCACTAAAGCCACTCCGTGGCCATAGTTTGTTAAACTAACGAGTATTTTACACCCTAGTTCTGTCGCGGCTGGAACATCCAATGATCCAGTATGTTGGGGTACTATTGCCTCAGATCGTGTGAGGGTATCACTTGATTGTTTCTTCATACTGGCGATTGAATTTGGTTGCTGCCGTGGCTTCCACTTAACAGCTTCTTTTACTTTCAAAGGTGCTCTTCCTTGGTCACAAGCGTCTGGATGCTCGTTGAAATGCTTGTGTGCCTTGATGAAAACGTCTGCATGATCAGAGGTTCCCCAGTCAATCTGGAGGGGAATGCCAAACATCTTCCAGCAGAGATCATGGAGTACGTACAGCATCAAACAGTATGGATAATATCTTTCGCTTCCAATGTGAAGATAGCAGATTGGACAAAGGGAAGATGTCACATTGGATTGTGAATATCTTTGCTTCACCGATAAGGATCCCATGACAATGAGAGTTGACATGTCGACGCATGTTCCTCCTGTGCCGTCCGAGCATATCTGTCGAGTAAGTGGTTTTCTTCCTGCCAATCGCAACAACATGAAGAGACCAGTTGGCGAAAATGCCTTGTACGGTTGTTCCATCATTCTATTGAACTCACTCTGTTGCCTTTCAGTTGACAGGTTAAGAGTTTCTCTGAATCTTTCAAAGACAGGTCCATAGGTCAGATCAATGATGAACATGTCATCTGCTTGGGATTGAAGCTCCATGGCAAGTTCATCTGCTATTCGAAAGTTGTTCCTTGGCTTGTAATTCGGTGGGATACGGAGAGCCCACTTGGAGAGAACCTTGATTAGGGAATCATTGCTTGTAAGTCGATGGTCTGTTCCAAGTACTTCTTTCAGGAAGGAGATCTTTCGGTGGTTGAGGTGATTGCGGATCATACTCTTGAGCCTTTCTTTGAATTCACCATGAATCCAGAAAGAACGATTGGCTAGTGCTCTTGTTTGGGGGTTGTTGGTTCTTTGTGCATTCTCCACAGACGGCATAATGGCTCTTGTGACTTCCTCGCCCTTTATTTTCATGATTCCCCTATTTCTGTTCTGTGCTTCGAACAGAATGTATTGGTTGAGCACAGTCCTGATGCAGGGTGGGAAACCGTGTTGGTCGCATGGTAGTTCTGAGCTGGCATCGAGTGGGTGATTGTGTTGGTAAGAGTTTTTGGAATAGATTCTGTATTGCTCTGTCTGGAGTACTCTGTCTAACTTTATCTGCCCCCTCCACTTGCATTTCACTCTTTGACCACCGATTGTTGGCGTTGCTCTGCAGTGAAATTTCCAGATCTTGTGCTTGCCTGTACGTGTTCCATCCGCCATTATGCATTGCTCCTGCTGAAAGTATCCTCCGAATCGTTCCAGGAGATGCTGTCTAGCTTCGTCTATTGTGCTACAAGGTTTACAGGTCCCGTCCAGTTGGAACATGGTGTGGTTGACTTTGGGCCTTTTTGCCGCTTGGGCATGGTCATTTTGGCTTGTATTCTGCCACTGTCCGTAGAAGCTGTTGTTCTGTTGACTCCACTGGTATGATCTGCTTTGGTGGGTTCCATTGGATTGGTTTTATCCATTGATGTACCAAGGGTATCCATTGCCATTGCTCCGAGGGTATCCATTGCCATTGCTCATGCTAACTTTGTTTTCTAATTTAATGATTTATCTCCATCTTGCTATTCTCCGTTTTGCTTGGAGTTGCAGCGACGAATTTTCGAATTCATCATAGAACATTCCTCGAACGAATTTTGGCTGGTAGTCTCCCCGCCTCTTCTGCCAATGACTATCCGATGGCTATCCAATTGCTTATACACAAATAAATACATGACATAACAGCTTTAGCTTGTTCGAATTGTCCTTCCTGGAGCCTCTCCTTGGTACTCTCCGCAATAAACCATTTCTGTTGACACCTTGGAGATCAACTTCTTGCGATGGTTGCCATGGTGCGTCTTCTTGCTTTCTTCCTTTCCCCTCTTGCTGTTGTCTTTCACTGCCTGTCTTCGCCTTTCCTTCTCTGTTGTTGTAGGTGGACATGGGCTTGGTAATCTTCTTGTGTTGATCATTGTGTTGGTTCTTTCCTCCGTTGGTCATGGTCGGTGCTTTTCGATCGCTTTCTTGGCGGGGTTCTTTGTTTCATTTGATTCATTGGACTAATGTCTGTGTTGTTCTGTACCCGTGACTCTTTCTTTGTGATTTGCTTTCGCGCCTGACTCACCCTCTCTTTGTGTTGCACATGGCTGGAGGGCTTGTATGTGGATGGCCACCACATACAAAGGCCCGAGAGACCGGTGAACGTAATGCGTGGGAACAGCAACATGGAGAATACGATTCGATTTGGATAATTCCAAAAAATTATGAGGGTTCTCAGGAGCTTTCCTAACCAGCCATTTTGTCATCCGTGCGTACGCGAAATCAAGTTAACTGTTAAAATCGGCTGGCTTTCCCTCTTTTTGCCCATTAATTTCGGTACGCCGTATCAGTAATTTTGCATTCTCAATTCGCCGTACCAAAATTATGAGGGAAAAAGAATCGCGTAGGACCAATCAAATCGTTAGAGCAGGCCGAACTCAGTCACGGCCACAAATCCCAAACTCTAACGAAACTCGCACTCGAGGAACACGTACTCGGATCTTATAGGAAGAACTCAAAAAAAGGGAAGTTGTGGTGAAAGAGGAGCTACAAATGGATGCACATGATTGCCTGTTGATCCACATGGCTACTCGAGTACTCGAGTGCTAGCTAGCTAGCTACTATCCACCAGCCAGTAGGCCAGCAACCAACAAGATTCTACTATCAAAGAACAATCATTTACAATTATCACGAGTTTTCCTGACGTACAGTGATTGCGTTTTGACAGAATATTGCCAGCTGCTCGCCCTGTCTCTGATGACGTCATACACTGACGTCAGCCAGCCAGTGTCAGAAATTCGCGTACCTCAGCCAGTGTCAGAAATTCGTGTACCGCGTATGTGTGTCACATGGATAGGAAAGAAAACTTGATACGTACACCTAAATAAATCGATGAAAATAAATGTGTTTCGCGTATGCACGGAGGCACACATGGAGTTTGGTTAGGAACGTACCTCAGTTCTCAGCTGCTCCTCGTTGATGAAGGAACGAATGCGATATTCTTAGCTCGCCTGTTAATCCCTACGTCTCCGAGACGTAGACTCGACTCCGGGACTGAGCTTTACCCTACTGGTATTACTACGGCTTTGGATTGAACTGGCCACAAGTGCCTCGGGAAGCAAATTCATGGTGCTCGGAAGAAAATCCGAGTTGCCCTGTAGGTCTTTGGTATGTTTTCTACAGAGTTACAAATCCGAACCTCCACGGAATCGGCTCAAAAATCCCGCACCAGTCAAAACGGCTACGTGTAACCTTAAACAGGGTATGCCCCTTAAGTAAATCTTGTTCGAATTTCCTTCTGAGCCCCTTGAATTCCCTTCCCAGCACCCGGAATGTTTTTCCCGAGGCCTTTGTGGCCAATTCAATCCGGGGGTAATAATAACTTCAGGATTCGATAACCCTAATGAGATGGGATAGGGTTATCTCTGCCTTCGCTTGCCCCACCGGTCCTTCCATTTCTTTTCTAATGGGATTCAAAGCGATCAAGAAGACGGTGGAGAGGCACCAAGTGCCTAACACTTCCTTTGCTAATAAGCACAAAGCGGATCTGGAGACAACTTCTTTATTCCTCTACAATGCATTCTGTTTCATGATCTTTAAAGGAAAAATTGAGGATGTGGTAGACATCATTCTAATGCATTCGAATGTTATCGAAGAGACGACTCTGATAAGAGAGCAAATGAAAATCGATATTAACAACTACAAAAGCCACTTAATAGACTACTATCACCAGGAACATTACACTACATGGCCTAAACCTGCTAAGGGTTATACTACAAAGAAAGGGAGAAAGAAGACGGCCATGGAGTGTTTTAAACACAAAGCCAACTATGCTGTGGATTGGGCGATCGAAATCGTTACGAAGATGTATGAGCTGAACCAAAAGAACCGTAAAGAATTGTAGACCGTAAAGATCTGGCTGAAGAAGCGAACTGATTTGAATTCGATATAACAGTTAAACCGTTATAAATAAGCCGATCCTGCAGGTCTTCGCGGAGCAAATGCTCCTCGTAGAAGGTTTCAATCTCATTAATTTTGGTTGCGTTAATCTCTTTGCGCGTAAACGTCGACCATGTCGGATCATGAACCTAACGATGAAATTTTAAAGAACCGATACACATGCACAGAGTGTATGAGGGAGTTTCTCCATGACAATACTCAACGCACTGCCTGTGGCCAAGACTTCTGTCTGTTTTGCAGCAAATGGTGGACCAGCGGATTAGAATGCTTCTCATGTGGGAAATCTTAAAAAAACAAATTGCTAGTGACAACCATGATGGATAGTGAGAAGGAATACAAAGGCTTCATAGAGTATTGCCTGACGGAATGCATGGCACCCATATATCACACTTCCGGATGGGAGTCGTCCACAACGACCCGACGACAAGAAGGGAAAACAAACTCAGTTTAAAGGGCGGACTAGTGTACTTCGTGATAAACAATAATTACGATTAGTTAAAGATCTTACGTATATCTTCCGGAGTGTTAGGTGGAAACTCCAGGGTTTTCTCGCGCTCTTTAGTCTTCGAGTGGTCTGCTAACTTATTAAAGGTGATGGTTCTCGATCTGAAGTCGAAAGAGTCACGGATGCAATCCACAGCCGCGATTGCTATCTTCCGGAGAGTTTGCTTAAACTGCTTGTCAGAGGTCGGGGGAAAGGAATCTGCATGCATCAACACCATCCTCACGGCATGCTTGATTTGACTGAAGCGATTGCGGTGACTCTTCTTCTCCCTTTCGGTCATGTCGTTCCACTCTTTGCTGTTTTGTTCCAAGGCCATACCATCTGGATAGTTCTCCACAAAAATATTCACAAAGACATCGACAACGAGTGTTTGAGGTGTGACGCCTTTTGTGCTGACGGAGAACTTCTTGGCGGCCGTGCGAGGAACATCGGACTCGGGAGCGTCTCCCATGAAATGGGATTCCAGCCTTCTGATAGAGGCTCCCATGGTGTAGATACTATTGGAGTCGAGCCTTTCATAACGGAGAATGTCCGCTTTGTCGTTCAGCTGAATGCGAAGCTGCTGGACAGTGACATTGACAGGATTTGGTTTGGAGCCACATGATGTGAATCCAGCACTGTTGGCTTGTCAGAATATCAGGCTCTGACATGTCTTTACAACTGTGCTGGTTTCTCAGATTGTCTGTCACTCTGGAACAATGTATGGCAGGCCTGCTGCCAAAATTTGGCTTTACAAGACTGATTTGTTCTATGTCCCTGTGGCCTTGCTGCCCATGTAACTTTGTGCTTGACTCCTATGTATTGGAGTACATTATGAGAGATTGGCCTAAGAAGGTCTCTATGTAAGGATATTTGGTTGTCTGGTATGTACCAGTAGGAAATTCGGAGGCCGAAAGGTAGCCGAAAGTGCATTTTCGGCCATTACGGTAGTCCCGTTTCGAGTGGCACGAAACCTGGCACCGTAGTTGACTATTAGGAGCTCTGAGAGCTCACAATTACTAGTTTAACATAAGTATAAAGTGTTCCTGTTGACCAGGAGTGAATATTGCATCTGTAGCACTTTATTGCACCTGTTGTGTGCACTGAACTTACCCTTCAAGACCGTCCTGAGTCGATCTCAGGCAGACTGACTAAGAGCCTTTCCTTACTGAGGGAAGGATTGAACAAGAGAACTTTGCCAACATGAGTGGACTGGGCGATCGAAGCGAGCGAATTAAAGTGATCGGCAAAACACCGCACGTCCATCATCACCGACTTGCCTTTTCCTCCGTATAAGGGAAGGATCTCACTTGCACACTGGGAATGCCCGGAAGGTTACGGGATAGAAAGGAATTGCGGGCTTCCTTGCACCATTTGTGAAATATGAATTGGTCAACATCTGCTTTCTCCAAGGCTTCCTGAATGCGGCAAACGAAAAGATTGTCGCGGATGGTATCATAGTCATACGACCGGTCGAGGTCGTGGACAGTGGGGTCGTATGTCTCGAAGGTGCAATCCCGGATGGTCGCTTGAGGGTGTGATCTCAACACGGCACAGAAAGAATCGTAGCGAAGGATCAGAGTCATCACCAACAGCTCACGGACTTTGGATTCCCAGCGGCCATCTTCGTCATTGGCGAACAACGCACACATCCTTGAAACGACGGAGCTTCTCCCGGTCGCCATCTACCAGAGCGGTCGCGACACCGAAAAATAGTAATCCTCGAGTACACCATCACGGAAGTGCACTACGCTAAAAGCTAGTGTAAAGATCTTTCGAGTGTTTTGAGTTTGAGAGAATGAAAGTTATGAGAGAGATTAGAAAGCTATGAAAACTAATCAACGAGAGAGATCATCATCAAGGGATCGTAGATCTGGTCTCCCGCGGGAGACTATAGAGTGTGATAGAGTAGGTTGCGGTAGCAATCCTACTCACTCCACGATCCAAAAACGGAACGCGTGGAAGATTCGTCTAGCATTTATCTAGCAGCGTGGAATCTCTCCACGCCAGCTAAATATCTAGCGCGATGTTTCACCATCAACCTAGTATGACCAGAGCGGTCATTGAGAACCCTGTCTCAAATGACTATTCACGAAAGACTCAGTCATGAGTCGAACTCAAACCCTATCTAGGATCGAGTCGCGAATAAGGCTGAGAGCCGTGTATTGCACAGCCCATGCATTCCAACAAATCAGATCATGTGCAACCCCATCACCCAAGCTTATGATCAAAGATCACAAGAAACCCAACAAAGATGGGGTATTCCCAACTAGACTTGTTGTACCAGCCAACAACTACACATCAGCATTCTCTAAACTCGGATAACTAGAAATCAAAAGAATTCTAGACGACAATAAAATAGACTACATGGACAAAACAATCATCCAAGCCTCCGACCTCAAAGGCCAAGTAGAAAAACTAGGAGTCAACAATAGCAACTCAACAATAGTATCGATCGATGCTGAAGCCTACTACCCTTCAGTTCGATTCAAACTAGTGCACAAAGCAGTCAAATACTTTGCCAAGAACCTTGACGCAGAATGCCAAAGAAGACTACATGACTGCCTAGATATGATCAAATTTGGGATGAACTCTACACTACTGATATTCAAAGACAAATACTATGAATACGATGGAGACATGAATCCAGAAGAGAAAGGACTAACCATTGGTGGATATGAATCCGCATGGCTGTCTAATCTAGTAGGAGCCTACATCCTAGAAAATACCAAAGACCACTTTGAAGAAACATCATACTATGGCCTCTACAGAGATGATGATTTTGCGATCTTGAAAGGAACTTGGACATATGAAATGATAGTAGAATGGAGAGCCAATTTTCAGGCCAAAGTCAACAGCCTAGCCGAAGGAGACTACCTAGTATTCACCTGTAGCATATGGCTAGATCAAACCAAACGATAACTCCCAAAAGATCAATCTGACCGCAGCAAAGTAACTGAAAAAAGTGGAAAAGCATTCCCGTATCTAGATACGGAACTGTTCTGGTCGAACCAGGAAGAACTTCACTTCCGAGTCCACCTTAAACCGAACCAACAACTGAAATATTTAAACAGGAGAACTACCCACACAAACGCATGCCTCAAAAACATCCCACTAGGGGTGTTCCAAAGACTCGCTAAACTCACTACAGTTACCAACAAGAATGCCAACCAAACCCTCGACGAGATCTACCCACTACACGTCGAGGCGCTGAAGAAAGCTGGATTGGTTCCAGACTAGATTCCAACACTACAAAAAGAAATACAACCATACTCCCAGCGACAAGAGGACAAAGCAAACCAACCGGATAGAGATGCCAAGCAACGAAAGAGGAACCGAAACTGATCATTATTCTTCTGTATAGGACACTCCAACGCCTGGACGACCCCAATACACAAGGTAATCAACGACCTCAAGAAGAGCCATGGCCTCGAATGAATTAGAACGTCTATGTCCTACCATCGATTCACCAACCTGCGAGAGATGTTCATGGGCGACCTATCGACGAAGCTCACCAATGACGTCATTTCCACCCGAGTTCCAAAATGAACCTGCAACTGCAAGCCAGGAAACAAGAAAGACGGTCATTGCCGATTTGACGACCGCTGTAGAAACAAACTGGCCATATCCATGTTCAGATTTTGGCAATTTTTTCTGGCTTGGTGTCACTCATTTATTTAAGCCAAATTGTTCTTTTCTTGAAAATTTGAAAAATCCCATCAAAACTATGGACCACAGGTGTCACTCATTATTTATGAGTCCCCTCAACGGCACTCATTTCTGAACATGGATATACTGCATCAAATGCATAAACTCAGGCAAGGAATACATTGGGGCAACCCAACGAAATGTCAAAGAACGAACATACCAACACTTCACCGACGTCATGCGTCTCCTCTGCGGAAAACGCAAGTCAGATTCACGCAAGACACTTCGCCAACGAATTCCAAAACTTCGCACCTCCTTCACAATTCCGACTCAACGGCACCATTCAAAGGAACAGCATCGAAATTAGTATCCTATGGCAAGGCAACCCCATCAGCACTGTCAAGACCTTCGGGACACGACATTGCAGCCTATGCAACAGGGAGCGACTCGAGATACTGAAACGATCCAGAGAATTACCGGAAAAGCTGATCAACTCCTGCAACGAAATATACGGAGCATGCTGACATAAACCACGATTTCATAAGTACCACAATAGCCCAAGCACTGATAATTCCCATGGGGGATGAAAAAGTCAAACAACCGAAAAGTTACCACAGAGTAAAGCCTGTGTTTTGGCGATTCGGCAGTTTGTGAGTAAACTTACTTAGTTCAGTCACTTTTTGCTAAAATCGTATGATACTGTACTGTACTCATTATACAGTAAAGGCGGCATGGTGCGGAAAGTGCGTTAGGCTCCAAGGAGATCTCAGCCAGCTAAGTTAATAAAAGAAAGATGTACAAAAAGGGAACTGGTTTGATGCCAATTAGATACTTTTACTACCCCCGGTACCTGGTAGGACCAGTAGGGAGATACCAGCCACATGTACTAATACAGTAGCATTGGCTACTAGCAGCTAGCCAATTGATACCATAAATATTATCTTTTTCATTCCATTCCATTTTCCCGTCATCCAGGTAGTAGTCAAGGCCTGAGCTATTGTTGACTCACACAACAAAGACAACGATCGAACGACTGAAAAGATTTTTATTGTTCTGCCTCCGACCCGAGTTAGTAGTAAGTATCCCAGTATGAGTTTGGTCTACTGATAAATATGCACACTCTCTTGAATTATTTCTAGCCACATTAACTTGTATATGATTTCAAAACTGGCTCACCTTGCTTCATTCAATGGCATGCATTGACTTACCCATATCAAACTCAAGCTTATATTGGTGCCATAAATGTGAAGCAATAATACCCTTTTAGCTGGCTGTCTAGAGCTACTTTTTCACGGGAAGCCGAACACCGAAGCGCTTCCCCTCTGGATCTGTCACTACAAGAACAACAACACTAATAGCAACAAACACAACCAATCGGTTATACCTATACCATTACACTACCTATTAGCACCATTAGAAGCATTGAAACGAAGCGAAAGGACCTCAGGAAGCCTGTTTTCTGTTATCTTGTTGAAGAGTACTGTTTTACTATAGGATTCAACTCAACGTCATCACGGAAAACATACATCCTTTTTCCTCTCTTTACAACCTATTCAAGCCCAAAAGGATCGATACCTCCTATCTCCATCAAGCGCACCTCCTCTATCAAGCGACTATCAACGCGGCTTTCTCCGGTCCAGATTAGAAAGCCATCCCAATTGAAATCCTACGAGATCGGGCGGGTTTTCTATTCTCGACCGCCGACGGCCAAGTTGGAAGAATTTGAACACAATAAGAAGTCACCGGTCTTCCCCAGCACAGCACAGAAAACAATTCCCATATCTATTTGTTGTTTTCTCAGCTACACTCCTGACGGCCATCGAAATCCCATTGTCGATCCCCTTTTCGTACGATCGAACGACCTCCGCAACAACAACAGGCTCGGTTAACCTTCCCCCTAAGGCAACTGACTCATTCGAATCTTCAATCGCGAATCGAATCGATCTTATCGAATCGATCCTCGAATCAAGACTCACCTCCGTGAATCGATCGATCTTCCCGCGACCGTACCTCTTCTCCGTACCTCTTCCTCCGTACGGATCGAACGACAGCCTCCTACTATCAAGAAGGACTTCACAAGATACCTGCAGTGACCACCGAGAAGAGAATTACACCTGTATTCTTACTTTCTCACCGGCCACTAGTGGTTTCTCCCGACGTCCTTGTTGGAACTGATCCTACTGATCCAACCAGTCCTATCCCTATACAGACTGATTGACTGATCAACACCTGCTACTGTTACCACCCCTCCATTGATATCTAACTCCTCCCCAAGAGGAACAACAAACAACAACAGAGTTCCTGTAAGGACTTGAGTTGGTTACAAGTTGGATCCTAACTCAGCTTTTTCGCTGGAGTTACTGAGTATAGTTTCCTTCCTTGGACACCAGGATTGGCCTCGTCAGCCTTCTCCCTGGGATATCCAGCTCCTCTCCAAAGGACCTCACCCACACAAGAACAAACTACAAAAGTTGCCCCTCTGAGGCCAGATTGTGCAACACTTCATTGACACCGCCACCTCTCTGCTACTGCACCTGCCTCTCCTACTGAGCTTAAGGAACTCCAAAGGATTGAGCCCCAGACAGAACTGCAGCGTGGTGTGGCATAGATATTAATACATAACTGACTCTATCTCTCTCTCATTGATTGTTGAGTGACTCTCCAGTGACTTTCCACAGTTCCACCTGAATCGAGTACCCTCCACATCTTGGCTTGACTCTCTGTTGCATGTCTGACCCTACAACAGATTGAGTACCAGCCCTTGAGACAACACAGTGTCATCCAGTAACACAGCCCCATCAACCAACAACACCCCTTGATCCCCCCACCACTGCCTCTACTGGCTATAGCGTGACTTCTCCAGTTTCCCCTGAAAGAATCCCTAACAGCCTTTGGCTCTGATACCATCTTCTCCTGCAGGTAGTGGTATACCTGCACCAGACTTGGCCACAGCCTTTGATCCAGTGGCAACAACAACCCAACAACTTGATATAAACCTTGATTACCAGTGCCTCAGTGCATTGCCCCTTGAATACACCCTTCTACATCAATCATCTCGCCACCTCACAAGCAACCTCCATTGCTTGCGTTGAAGCAACGACCCTACAGTCAACACTCCAGGATACACAACTCTCCCACCAACCCCCAACCCACCTACCACCCACCATGACTTCCCCAGGTCTACCCACACCTTCACTCAAACCCAAGGTCCTTCCAGACATCCCCCCATTCCCACACTTCACCCAACCACCCACCATCCTCCGCAGACTACACAACACCACTCCCCAGATGATCAGCCAACAGCTCCTAGAGCATGCAGCCATCTTGAGGATCACACCCTTCCGAATCACACCCTACCCTATCAGGGAGGATGCCTTTGTTCTCACCCTTGAACAGAGGCACGCCTCTATCCTACAACACACCATCAACCATGCTACATCCCAACTCCTACAACAACACTCCAACACCAACAGGATCTCCCCTCCTGCCCCTGGCACCAGCCCACTTCCAGTGCCCCCTTATCCTCCTTCTATTGACTCAACAACCCCTCGAACAGCCCACAACACTCCAGCAGCCACTGTGCCTCCCTCCTGGGAACCACACACTGCCAGTGTGTCATTTGACCCCATCTTCTGCCTGCTTGTTGGCCTCTATCTAACAATTTTTGTGCATTGGATGGGTTACACCCTGCTCTGGTCCAGCCTGAGGAGTACCACCTCCTACGGGCTCTGCTGGCATCTTGCCTTGCATGCCAAGGCCCTTGCCACAGCTTGGGACCTGATCACCCAGACACACTTACTGGCGAGCACTCTTTGGTCTGGCAATCTAACTGGTCCTCACGGTCCCTTTGGTGATAATGGTTTCAATACCGACAAAAATCCTGTGTAAGCCCCTGTAACCCAGGTTTTGCGCTGCAGGTTCCTTATCAATGTGCTCACCCCCCTACCCAGGGCATCTGTCTACTTGGTGCTGGCTCCACGTTGGGCCAGTGGATGAGGTCATGTTGATTGGGCAAATAAGTAGATGACGACTCAGCTAGGTGGGGGCTTCCCCACCACTTGCCCGCGTCATAAAAGCCACTCCGTGGCCATAGTTTGCTAAACTAACGAGTATTTTACACCCTACCTTTGTCCGTAGCTTCTTCCGTTCGAGCCTTTCTTGTCTGGGCAGTCTTGTTGCTTGTGTCCGATCTTCCCACAGTTCCTGCATCTGCTCTTGAACTGTTTTCCTCCAATCATGAAAGCTGTTTCGCCACTGTGGTCTGTCGACTTGTTCCGTGCCTTAATCTCATCGTAGATTTCGCATAATTCATTCACCACACTCTTTACCGTTATTCCATGTCCTGTTGTCTTGATCCTTCTCAGAACATTCTTCTTCACTTCATGATACACTCCGAGTTCTCCTTCCTTCTTCGGCATCTTTTCGAGAAGGTCCTTGATGTACTCTTCGTCCGATATCTTAAACCCGTCCTTCGCTAGCTTCTTGCGTTTCACGTCGAGTCCAATCTCGAACTTCTTTGGGTTCTCCTTTATGTCCATCTTTATCGCGTAGTATTCCGTTCGTCGAGCTGCCACCTCACCACTGTCTTCAGCGTCGTAGAGGTCCAGCATGGACTCCCACATGCCCTTGAATTTCCCAGCAGCATGGTCAGTCGTTTGGTGTGAGGCCAGTAGGTCGAAGGCGACTTGCCCTTCGATGGTCTCCACATTGATCGAGTCCAGCAGTATTCCAGCAGCCTTGCTGTTCTTCTTCTGCAAACTCTCGACCTTTTCCACTTCGTCATCCGACAACTTGCCTGCACCTGTCGGGTTTTCCCAGTTGTCCGGCTTGATCTCCGTAGAGTCCTTCATCAGTTCTACGTACCCATACTTTGATAAATGGGCCATCATCTTGACCTTGTAGAACCTGAACGATGATACCTCTACCTCCGTAGACATCTTGACTTACTTCTTTAACACTTCTCTTTTCTGTTTGACAACCTGGATCCAAGCTCACTCTTTCCTGATAGCTATCATTTTAAAACGTGTTGAAAAGGTGTGAACTTGAACGCACAATTTCTCTAATTTAATCAATATCCTTCCAGCTCTACTGTCTAGTAGACTGGCTATTCGTTTCGTTTTCTCTTTCTCTCTCGTTCAGATTGCGAGCTCTACAACTGAGCTCCGATATGCATACATATACCAGGATCTTTCGATCCTCTGTTTATTGCAGTTTCATCTGCAGATAGATCTCGTCGATCTATCTTCCTGAAGTGCATGGTTGGCCCTGGAGGGCTTTCCCACTTTACTAAACCTATGGACCTTCATCCGTCCATTCATTTGCTCCGTCCCATCGCTCCTTGCATTCGTCTCTTCGACCTAACTTCCTAACCTTTGTAGTTGCATCATCTAGACGACCATTGTCCTCGTTCCTCGTACACCTGGCCATCTGATGATGATCGGATAACCATCTGATTTGAGTCACACATCCCCAATCACGAACCGTGACTGTGGATCCCGAGTCGTCTGTCCGTCATACGAAAATACCTTTCTAACATATCTTTTTCACAACAGAGGTCATTTCTTATTCTGTACGGTACAACCGCGACGTGTCTACTCCATCATTTCGACGCGCCAACAACTCTCACTCTCATCAATGAGTTATGGTACCGGTACAATGATTGGAGGTGGCAACGACAACACAGTGCTGAGGTTCTCTTTCACCAACAAACAGCAGTTCAGTGATGCCTCGTCGCAGTTGCAAGATGCGTCTTCCCATGTTTCCGCGGTTCACCTGAAAAGCCGTGGCTTTCTCTCCGCGTGTATCCGGGTCTCCAAGCTCATGGGAGAGTTGGCGCAATGTCCTCTTCTTCAAGTACTTGAAATCGACATGCCCAATGAATCAGTGCATACCCATGCGCTTGTTGCCGTGCTCCAAGCGTCAAAGAAAACATTGGTGGCATTGACTCTACGCGCCAATGTTTTGCGTGCCAAACGAGGTGGTACTGCTAGCAAGAGGCTCGTCGTGGAAGGACTGCGGAACCTAGTCGCATTGGAGAATTTCTCATGGAATAACGGTTCCGTGGACGGCTGTTTCAGTGAAATCATTGGAGCCGTTGCGAACTGCCCAAAGCTAAAGTCTGTGACGTTGACTCAAAATCTTTGGGGAGACACGTTCGACGAATTGGCCCTCAATCCAACCCTGGAGGCTTTGACTTGTTCAGGGTGTGTCATAAACTGGACTGGTAGACTTGGAACCTATGATATCACTTTGGATCGGTTCTGCCAGACACTGCAAACTTCCCGCCTCAAGTCGCTCAAGATCTGTCCTCCTCCTACCAATAATGATCACGAGAATGTTGATATGACACCCCTTGCCAACTATCTACACCACACCAAACACTTGGAACATTTGTCATTGGCAATCCACAAGACACAAGTCAAGGCTCTAGCCAATGGTTTGAAACACAACTAATCGTTGAAACGTCTAGAGATAAGAGGATCCGGACTGGTGGACGAAATTGTTGCTTCCTTTTCGTATGTTATGCCCAACAACATGTGGCTGGAGGAATTCAAATACAACGGTTGTGACTACGATGCCGATCCAGCCATTCCTTTCTACATTACTCTGAACAGAGCTGGACGAAAGTACTTGGTAGAGAATTACGACGCTCGTGACGATTGGGTGAAGGTGTTGATTCAATATCATGTCAACACTCCACTGGTCTTTCACCTCCTCCAGACTAACCCTTCCTTGCTCAAGGGCATGGGGCTGGACCATCATCACAACAAGGGGCAAACTATACAGTCTATTGGTACCCGTAAGAGCACCGTGTGTGAGGATGTCAGAAACAAACACGACGACGAAGTATTCCGAGGATGGTACAGGTAACCTCCTCGTTGCCCATTCACCGGAAATCAGACATTCGATTATTACAAGACAAACAGAAGGATCCCTCCTACGGTATAGAGTATAGCTATAAGCTTCTACGGTAACATTCCTACACCACCGCCATCATGAGCTCAATCATGATCGCAACCCTACTAGTAGGCTAGCTTGCTGTTGCCGACCTCTTGATGTTTGCGCACACCGGGAGTGGACTAGCCTAGCCTACTCGGAGGACGACTGCTGTAGCAATAGTTCTTGTTGCGCTTTGGCTTCTTTGTTGGCCTTGATGGTTTCCCGCTGAAACTGCGCTTCTGTTACCGTTCCAATCCCTAGGCGTCCATTTTCCTGCACCACAAAATCATATCCAAACTCGGGCAAAATAAAGGACAAAGCCAAAAAGGACAACCCAAAAGCAAAAGTAGCCGTTTGGAGGATTTGGCCGATATTGATACTGGGGTAGTCATTATTGTTGTTGTTGTTGGCCTTCAGGGACGTCGTCGTATCTTTGGATGGCGGTGAATAATATTCAGAGACAAAGGGGATCGTTCCTCCGCGTGCACAACTACGACGGATGACAAATGCCTCGCACTCCAGAGACAACAACAGCACCGCCAGGAATCCAACAAAGCGGAAAAGTTTGCGCTGACAGCAGCGAAACATCATTCTAATAATGCGATGCGTGTGATTACAAAAACAGAAAGGGTAAAAGGGAGACAATATTGGTACCAGTACCTGTGTGTCGAGCTTTGTTGTTTGGTAGATAATAAATACTAAATTGGTGAGGGCTCGGCTCGAAAAGCACTGTAAGTGTGTGAGGCTCCAAGGAGCTCTTTCAGGACTGATTCAGTCACTGGTGGCAGCAATCCGGATTGTTGATTTGCCCCCACTGTACCGGTATGTACCGGTACCGGTGGTACTCTCATCACCATGCCGCCAGCGCTGTCACTATGATTGGATTGGTATCAGTATCGTACTGTAAAGGTAGACTACTAACTTGCTACCGGTAGAGGAAGCTCTTGCAAGATCACGAGCTGACTGCTTGCACCGCCCCACTCATTCATCCACAAGAGCACTGCTTGCACTCATTCATTTGACTCTTCCACCACAAGGAGGAAAGAGGAATTGTTGCATATCAAAGCAAGGAATTACTGATCACAACAGACACAGCACAGATCATCCTGTATTGCCAGACCTGGTAGGAATACCAACTGGAGTACAAATGGGTGACTGCAGCAGTACAGTTGTAGGAAGTGAGACAATTGCTTTTGTTCACAACACCACTCATTCATCGCGTCAATTCAGAACGTACTAGCTACGTGTATCATACTGGTATGCCCGACCTCCAGCACAAAAGCGCAGGAGGACGATTCAATACAGTAGCATCCAAGCTCGTCCCAACTAGGTTTTGGTTTTGTCTTGTGGATCTACATGTACTAGTAGTAGGTACCGACCCTTTGGTATGAAGCAAGACTTTAATTTTCGAATCATCAACAGTCACCAACTGTCGCCGGATCCTTGTAGAGGGTGATGAAAGGACATGATAAGTCTATGAGAACATGTTCATACGCCCTCTGGATCAATCACTACGGCAGCATGAAGTCTGGGTGTAATCCAATGAATTTTATGATGTTATTGGGCGATTATTCGAATTATGACAAAAAGTGAGTTGGTCCCCTTTTCCGAATGCGGCTCGGCTGGTGTGTCGTGCTTCCGGTCACTCATTTTTTCGAGACACACTAAGTCACACTTCCGCGAAATTAAGAAATCCCGACCACAACCAAGAAACCAAGATTACAAAGACAATAGCCGGTCAATCGCCGAAGCCCTCTTTGACCACTGTAAAGAGATGCTTTCTCTCACAAGCAATCCCCCATCAAACCAGTGAGTCGGTGACATGGCCTGTTAGTTCCCCATAAATTCCTTGAAGCCCATCAAGATCTTCCCGTCGTGATCTTTCCCGTCACGAACAATCTTCTCCCGTGAAGCCCACAGACTCACTATAAAGACACCCAAACACACCCCACAAACACAAGTCACCATCCCATCTGTTGCATGTCATGCAACACTCACTCATCCACCTCCTCCTCTTCACCAGCATCCTAAAATGGCAACAGTTCCAAAGGAGTTAGAAATAAGACCAATAAAATAGGCAATAGTAGCACCATCTTACCTTTGACTCCTCATCCTGATCTGCCGAATGCCGCTTCTTGGAGCCTTCAATAAGCAATTTCCGGCCTGCTTCAGCATCAGGATGAGTCACACCCTTGTATTCGTACATATCCGACTGCAAATTCTTCACTCGTGCCCCACCGCGCCTGTCAACCTTGGCACCATCCTTTTTCAAACCAGCCGCTGCAGCGAGGCCTCTTCCACCAGTTCGGAGCTTGCTGTTACCAATGTCACGGACAACACAACCTTCCTCCTCCATGATGCGGACCAAATGAACGGGAAACTTGTTTACATCCTGGCAAATCCGACGACTGGTTGGGTTGCCAATATTGTAGATCTTCGTCAAGGCCTTGCAACCACGCTGAGGAGTACTGTAGGAAAATTTGTACTTGTGGTCTTCAGGCAAACGATTCGTCAACAGAACATGGTGATCAATGGCATCGTCAAAGTCCTTATTGAGAGATCAGTCCCACGGCATCAGTTCTGGGGAGTTTCCAACTGGTGCCTGGGAGTAATATTGCTTGAGTTTGGGAGTGTGTGTGTTGAGGCCAAGCTCAGGCAAGATCCAATGCTTGAGGTAGCCCTGCTCCTCCATCCACTTCTTGCAATCCTTGGACTTCATAAGAGACAACGCATCATGGTAAACTCACCAGTCGTCACAGTCTTCACCATGGATCTCCTGCATGTGGGCCTTGGATTGCTCAAAGATATGCTCCACCATTGTAGTGATACAAACATACTTTGACATCGCTGAGGAACCTTCAAGCTTTTCTTCCCACTTTGGACCAAATCGAGCCTCGTAAGGATTGGATTCCTTGCGGTAATCCTTCTTGGCTGGTGGCGCATCATCCGCTGCCTGACAAATCTTCTTCCACTCTTCCAGGTTTTTCTTACTAGCCACCTTCTGTTGGACCAGCTCCTTGATGCGCCTCTTTGTGAGCTTGGCCAGCTTACCAAAGGTGTTGATGGGTGGGGACACACTCTTCAGCTTCTTGATGGTTCCGTCGCCCAAGTTAGCCACCTTTCCTGCAGTCAAAGGATCCTCCTTGTATGGCGTGCCTTTTACCCGTCCCTTCTTGACCCAGCCACTCTTTTCCGACAAGGTCTTGATACGGGCAATCTCCAGTTTCTTCTTGTTCCCGTAGTCCTTGATCGTCAACAATGTCTTGCCGCTGTAGTCAAACAGTGGCACAACACGCCCCTCAGTGGCATCGGTGGAACATCCAAGACTGACACGGGTCTCGTCATCATACTTGACGTTCAAAATCACCTTGTCTTCCTCAGAATATTCACCGTTGGGATCCAACTTTCCGTTTGGCAACCGCTTGTACTTGAGTTGATGTTTGCGGCCAGCCTGCGATGCCCCTTGGCCAATGATACACTTGCGGTGAGTCTCATCCCAGAAGACGACCTTGGTCAAGTCAATCTTGGACTCAATCAGCAGTGTCCCATCGAACCACTTAGGCAGTTGCCCATCAATACCTTGCGCTCGCATGTGAGCCCATGCCTTGTGAGTCAGCTTAGCACTCAATCCAAGTCAAAGAATGAGTTGGATCGACCAATTGTAGCGAGCTTGGGCCCAAGCAGACTCTTTGTCAGTACTCCCTTGCTTGAGACGCTTGATGGGTTTGACCAAGGGCTTGAGTCGCTTGGAGAGATGCCAAACTGAGGAAAAGGAGACCAAGGGCTGCTCCGTCTCCTTTAGATGATGGTTGACTTGCCTCGTAGCTTGCATCAAACTGAATCCATCCTCCAAAACATCAGCGACAATCTGGGCTTCCACCGAGTCGTTTGGAATGTTGACAGGACGGGTCTCTCCAAGGGCTTGACGACGACCACGATACTTCGTCCCTGCAGTCTGACACTTGGTAATGTCTTCAAAGACACAACGAATGGAAGTCCCCTTTTGAATGCTAAGCATCTTCCTGATTTGGGCATGAACTCCATTCCGACCATCCCATTCCGACTTGTCAGGACAACAGAAGACATGAACAAAAATGAAGGCAATGGCAATGCGGCGTGCAACCTCCCAGTCGATAAGATCTTCTTGCGCCAGCTCATCCAAAGCTTCATCAATCATGCAATACACGGCTCTTAGCCTTATTCGCGACTCGATCCTAGATAGGGTTTGAGTTCGACTCATGACTGAGTCTTTCATGAATAGTCATTGAGACAGGGTTCTCATGACCGCTAGTCATACTAGGTCGATAGTGAAACATCGCGCTAGATATTTAGCTGGCGTGGAGAGATTCCATCGCTACTAGATAAATGTCTAACGAATCTTCCACGCGTTCGTTTTTGGATCGTGGAGTGAGTAGATTGCTACCGCAACCTACTCTATCCACTTTACAGTCTCCCGCGGAGTCAGATCTACGATCCTTGATGATTGTGGATATCTCTCTCTGTTGATTAGTTTCATAGCTTTCTATCCTCTCATAACTTTCATTCCTCAAACTCAAAACACTCGAAAGATCTTTACACTAGTCTTTAGCGTAGTGCATTTTGTTAACAAACACAATAGCTTTCAGCACCCTCAACCTATTCCTCAACCATGAAGATTGCCAAAGACGTACACAGCTTCGAGTCTAAGAGTGCGCGACAAACCAATCCTCCTCTCCAATTCTCTCATCGACCTCGACGTTAATGCGAAATCGCGATTCTCGCTCTACCACAACAAACTTCGCACTGTTCCAGCAGATGCTGACACCGCCAAGTACACCTCCAGTCCAAATCACTGGATCTGCAGACTCCACGTTCAACATCAAGTGGCGCTGACGTATGCGGAAGGTCTTCATCGGGCTCGCCCTTTGCTACGCCTGAAGACAAACAAACCTCCTCAAGGAGATGACTTCTAGCTCTGGCAAGACGCGTTAGCGAATCTAGCTGTGCAGTGCCATCTGTGAAATTACGTTGAAATGCCTTACGCCAGATTCAGTCAACCGGATCCTCCACGGGACGTTCGTGGGCGTGAAGACGAAGCCGCTTTCCAAGTACGTTTTCCAGTGTGCCTGGAACTGGAGCAGCTCGAGCCTGTTGGACGACGCTGAATATACGTTTTGCTTAAATGACTGATCGAACGCCCGGGTCTTCCTAACAAGGCTTTGAAAGCAAATTTTCATGCCGCCGGATCTTAAGCTGCCTGATGACTTCTGGCTTATGTAACCTCAGTCGTGACGCATGAACTCCTGTCTACACCTTTTGGACCACAGCATGAACCATGACGAATCATTGACTCGTTTGTCATGGAATTCCACGCTCGTGTGGATGAAGAAGATGGACGTACACGACTTCGATCTCTTTACTCAGCTCCTATCGAGAAAACATTGAGATTCTGCAGAACGCAGGAATCCTCACGAAGACTTGACAAGGGCAGTGATGCAAAGCAGCTTTCTTCGTAGAACGAAAACAGCAGAAGTACAAGTCACTCGAACAACGCTAGTCTTCAAGAGAAGATCAAAAGTGGTGCGACTTACACGAGGTCCAGCATCTCCACAACACTGCTGACTGCTAATCCTGGATACCGGCATCTCTACTATGAGCACAGCGTTCTCAAGAACCTGACTCCAGTCGGACACTCGTCTGACAACATGGCAAGCCATACACGAACATCTTGAAAGAGTCTATCGATGCAAGTCTACAGTAGGAAGGAACTAATCTGCACATGAAGAAAGAATTCAACGCATTGCGGCAAGTGTTGATCGCAAAAATACAACGTCATAGACCCAACCGAGGACGAAGCTCTATTGTTGGATACATCAAAATGATGGAACAAGAAAATGGCTGCGTTGACAAGAGCGCTTGACCGAATTCGACTTCAATATATTCGGATGGAGAGATCTCCGTTGAGGATGGACCAGGATGACTGCATTCAACAGGAGATGTTCGATTTTTCTCTATACCTAGTGATGAAGTATATCTCACTAATAGTAAACAAGTATTGTTTGCAACTAATGAAATCTACAGCAAATTAGATAATTGTAGACAACCCTTGCTTCACTATGCTCTGGCGAACTATTCAGCATCGTTAATCTCGTTTCCTGGCCAACCAACTCGGTCACGTTCGCAAGACAGAATCTCTCTTCTTTT